ATCGAAAATGAGAATCGAAAAACACAAACACACAATCTAAGATCCAGAACACAAACACAAACGTGAATTGATTATACTAAATTTGCTTAAATCTCTTATGCACAATAAATCAATTAATCAATTGTTTGTTATACAATCAAGAAAAAGAGGCACAACTTGATCAAATTATACTTCCTATGCAATCGCAAAATATAAGGTCAGAAAATAAACTCGGAGCAATCAATCGATCTTCCAATTCTTGTTCGAGCAAGTGCAATTAAAAACTTGGTAACACAATTGAGAGTGAAATGCGGAAGACAACAAATCAAAATTGCAAAATTCTAAACGTCTTTCAATCTAAATGTAGAGCAAGATGGAATGGAATTCTAAAAGGTGCAAGAGTGAGAGAATGGGTAAAAAAAATGTGAGGTTTCTTGGAAGCGGGAAAGTTTTACAAAACTGAAAAACAAAAAAATAAACTAAGTGTGCTTCCAAATCAGCCCCTGACCTCTTTAAATAGTAGTCCTAAATGAATAAAAATGAATGGGCTAGGGCTGGGCCGAAAATAAATACAACAAAAACCGCAAAAACAAAAGCAATACAAAATCAATACAAAAGTCAAGCTAAAAGTATAAACTTCTAAAATTCGTAGAAAATAGCTCCAAACTCCAAACAGCATGATACATATACAAATTGAAGCCCCCAGAAGTAAAGAATTCAATGCAAAAAGAATCATCTAAAAAGGATATCTACAGAAAAAGTTATGGCCAAATTAGTGAATAAAGGTCAAAATAGAAAACATGAACAAAAAAAACGAGTATTTACAAAAGTTCCTAATTAATGTGAGAAATGTAAAAACACACTAATGAAAGAAATAAGGGAATGAAAAGACATCTAAAAGATGCAATAAAACTATAAATGTGGGAACAAAATATGAGTCATCAAAGTACTACCTTGTATTCTCAGTGATATTCCTTTCCTTAACATATATTCATAGCTAAGGTGTTAATGTACTTCCTTTGCATGTAGTTAACATATTCATCACCTTATTGTTTTTCTATCTAAATAAATGAGAGCATAAATCTAGCAAGAATGAAAATTTTTACACCTCTATGTATAGGTACAGTAGATTGTAAGTATAATGAACTGTGAGTTAATTGGCTCTTAAATTTTAGTAATATTGATGTTTAGTAATATTGTAGAATTCTAAACCCTTCATCTCTTTTTAGATTGAATCATATATTGGTTAGGAATGGACTATCGCATGTTAGCTGTAGCAATGACCTCTTTGTAATTGTGAACTTAGATTGTACCTTGAGTTTCAACTAATTAGGAGCAAATTGTATTGAAAGACTATTGTGGCTGTTGTTTTCAATTTGGACAATGATTATTTAAACTGTGAATTTTCATAGTTTTATAAATATTTCGTTTAAGCCTAGGCCATTAGGGACATTGAAAATAAATAGACATGTACAATACTATATAAGTATCTGTAAACTCATATTAAATTAGATGATATTGGACAATGAACTGAATTCTGTAAGAAAGGCTCGCTTATTCTTCAATAAGCCTTAAAGATAGGTGTCAATTAAATATAATGTTGCTAGAGGTGTGAGGATTGTTGCTATAGTAAATTATATGCATGTACTTATGTTTCTTGGAACCTAAGTACATTTGTAAACAAAGTATGCTACATAGAACAAAGGTGATAAGCACATACGTATTATTTTATTTTAGGTTTAATTGTTAATATTAAGTGGAGTGTATGGCTAAAAGTTCAATGATGAAATTGTGTGTTTACGTATTTCCTTTGTTTGGGTTTGATTGTTACTATTAAAGATTGTGCGTGTACTCTGAAATGGCAATACTGCATTTGTGTGTATTGTTTATGTAGATGGAAGAAGGAGAGTCAAGGTGACAGTCTAGCAAAACTGTAGAATGCTTGTGTCTAGATTCATGAAAGAATCTTGGGGGTAGTGAAAGGGGGATGACCCAATGGCATGGAGTAGCTCACCACGGCCAGGGCACATTGCCAAAGAGTCTTTGCTAATCCTAACGTGAGCACCTATTGCCAAGGTCGTGGTAGGCCCATTCCTGAAGACTACCTTAATGGTACTAGTCAGATGACTAATTGAGAATAAATTGTGCTAACTAGTAAGTAATGGAGTCCTCTAACCACCTTGACTGGAGGAATGATGAAAACTTGAGGGAGTATAGATTGTGAGTGACATGCATTACATCCCATGAAATCATTTAAACTTATATGAATATGTGATATAAATTAATGGATTCTTGAATGTTGGTATTATGTTAATGGAATAAAAGTTTTACTTGATTCATTTTAATGTAACTATTGTGCTTATAATAAACGTTGGTATTGTCTAAGACTCACCTTTTGGTTGGTTTCCTTTTCTTTTGGTTCTTTTGTCATGTTTTCTATGTATGCATTCCAGATATTCAACGATCGAGTAAAGATCTAGGTATTAGACAACGAAGAAGAGATATGGTTGTACGAACCTTAGACTTACCAATGCATCTTTTGGGGCCTAGTCACCATGGGCGTGGGACCTATAACTGATGAAGGTTAGAAGCCTTATTAGAACGATAGTCTCTTAGCTGAGATTTTTATCCTATTACGAGAGACAGATCAACACCTACCTTTTACCTTTGCTACTTCCCCCGTGAGACCTCCAGACCAAACACTGTCTTTTGACACCGTGAGAACGATAGTCTCTTAACAAAGAAAAAGCTCCTATGGACCTTAAACCCCTACCTACTTCTGAGCCAGTACCTATTTTTAAACTCAACTGGAAGGATATAAAGGTTATTGAATCTTCTATTCAACATATACCTCGTCGTCCTGTGAGAGCTCCTCCTTCACCCTCAAACGAGGCTGGACCTTCCATGAGACACCTGTCACTGCCGCTGCCACTGCCACTGCCACAACCTGCATCTCGTTCACTACCCCCTACCATCAAATGAATAGATAGTGATGATGACGTCGCCACCTTCTCCCCAGTCATAGGTAAGGGATGATCCGTCTTCCACCAATGGGGTAGGATATTCTCACACTAGTGTAAGTTTAAAAACTCTTACACTCGATTTGAGCTTTTCATTTAACTTACATCTAATGGGTTATAATTTATTACTTTACTAACCGTTAAATGTAAGTTAAATAAAAGACTCAAATTGATTGTAAAAATTTTTAAACTTATATTACTGTAAAAAAATCTTTCATCATCCAACTTTTTTTTGCTTATTTCTGATGAGATACTATTAATTTTATGTTTGAACATAATTTTGTTTTTAATGGAACTCCGTCAAAAAATTAGATAAAAAAATTCATATTCTGAATGAGTAAGCTATCAATAATTAATTATTATAATTGTCCACATTAGATATTCAACCTTTAAAAAATATATATAATTTTAGCTCTTATTTTTAAGTTGTTATATTCGGCATTTATTTAAAATCATTTATGTTTTAACTATTATTAATAATTTTGAATGTTTTTGTTAATAAATTTGATTTTTGAAATAATTTATTTTTTTGTATATTAATATTAATTTGTTTTGAAAATAATTTTATATTTAAGTAAGAAACCTTTAATTTATAAGACAAACAAGTGCTAATTAAATATTGGATGACAAGAAATAAAATTATGCTGAAATTGATAATATTTACATAAAACGTTGAGAGATATCATGAATACGAAATGAATTTATATTTTCTTTAAAGAAACAACATTAAAATTGACTTTAGTACTTCAAAATAGGAAAGGAATGCACAGGAGAGCATGCGTTGTCTTATATATTGAATGTAACGTTAAATATTCAAATAAATTATATCATCTCTGGTTAATAAATATCTTAAAAGTATTAGTTAAGAGATATTAAATATCTTTTATAGCTACATTTTTTTTAATAATAAAGGTTATAAAATCTAGTAGACGAAGAGATGGAATTAAAAAGAGAATTGATAGAAAAATTCTAAACTTAAAAAGCTAAAAAATATGAATTTATAAGAATTTTAAACATATTATAAAAATTATTCTTACATTTAAAAAATTTTAAAAATAAGTTTTTATTAAATAAATCTCCCTTCTTTCTTATTTTCTTCTTTTAAACATTAAAAGACATTCAAAGTTATTTTCTAAATCACATTAAATCTATTCAAATAAAACTTTCATACAAGTGTTTTGTAAGTACTTTTTAGTTGGGCACTTTCTTACTTTAAAATAAACCATCATTCTCTTATCTAAGATTTTAGATGAATTTAATATCAAGAAAGAAAGAAAAAGAAAAAGAAAAGAGAGGAGTCAGTGATTATTAAGTTATTTGGAAGTTAATTAAATATGAAAAAAAATATTAAGTAATTTTTTTAAATTCCAAAACTCTTTCAATTTTGTTATTTTTAGTTATCAATGTCAAGAGTTTTATTGACTATGTAATGAGATTTATCATTTATAATTTTATTTGTTAAATTAAATATTTAGCATAATCTAAAATTAGAACAGTAAGAAAATAAAAAATAAAAAAAATATTATTTTTAAAAAATATTAGTTTTTAGAATGATAATTTTTAAAAAATTTATATATTTTTTCACGTTTACAATTTCTCAAATAAAAGTTTTCCTAAAGTCAATCTGTCCTCTCAAATTTTTTTTCTTTTAAATTGATCTCGAACAAAATCTTAAAAAATTCAAAGTTATTTTTAAAATCATGTCGCATATATTTAAATTCAATTAGTTAAATTCTTGGTTTAAGTGTTTTAAAAATATTTTCACAACTTAACGACCTTTAAACCTTAAAACGAGCATCGTTCTCTTCATCTAAAAGTTGAAGAGCAAGAAAAATTTCAATCAGATTCAAATTTATTAAGTCACGCTGACGCGTCTAAAACTAAATTAAATCAATTCTATTATAATGCAGTCCAATCAAAATGCTCCTTTTAAACCACGCAACTTAAATTGAAAACGCTTTTAAAATTAACTCGATTCTATCCTTAAACTTTACTGAAATAGTTTTTTTATTAAAAATTGTAATATATGAAATGGTAATAAAAGATTTCTCACAAATCTAATTGCTTCCTAAAACGAAGAATAGGAACGAAATAATTCGATGGGAACAGAAAATTGATAGTTTCGATACTGCGAGAGTCCATTAAAAGCCCAAAAAGAAGCAGCACAATCCGGTCAAGCTCTGTCTCTTCAACCTTGCAATTCATCAATTCTTCAATTTCAAGGTTTCAGATTGCAATACCCACAAACAAGACCTTCCTTCAAAACCCCACACCCACCGGCACAATAAAAACCCACAAATTCAATCCTTTAATCTTCATTCTTTAATCAACCCACCAAAAAGCATGACAACCATTGTGTCATTACAAAGCTCGTTTGCGCTGCCATTCTTCTTCTTCATCTTTCTCGCTATCTACCTTACAGGATACCTCGTCCTTTTCCGCAACCACAGCCCCAAGATCCGACCCGAATTCTCCAGCTGCCTGATCTCCCTCTTCCATGGAACTCCGGCCGCGCTCCTCGGCGCCGCTGCAATTCTCTCCGACGGCCACCGTGGCTTCGCGGCGCCGAACACTGCCTTCCAGAAACTCGTATTGGACTTCAGCACCGCCTACTTCCTCATGGATCTGCTCCACTACGTTGTATTCTACCCTAGGGACGTGCTCTTCATCGCGCACCACGTTGCCACGCTCTTCGTCGTCGTCACGTGCCGTCACGTGGTTTCGCACGGCGCGTTCTCTGTCCTCGCGCTGCTCGTCCTCGCTGAAGCTACCAGCGCGTGCCAGAACGCGTGGACAATCGCCGGTGCGCAACGCCGCGAGGACCCGTTCGCCGCGAGGGTGTACGACGCGCTTTCTCCGCCGTTTTACGCTGTTTATTCGGTGGTGAGGGGTTTCTTTGGGCCTTATTTTGTGTACCAGATGGTTGTGTTCTACGCAAGTGGGGGTGCGCGTGGGCTTGTTCCCGCTTGGATTTGGGTTTCTTGGGTGATGGTTGTGGTTATGGCTATTGGGGTTAGCATTATGTGGATTTCAAATCTTTGGATTCAATTTTATAGGGAAAGAACAAGAAAATTGGAGGAGAAAATTAGATAGGGATTGTTGTTGTAAGCATTTCAAGCACTTGCCATTGTTCTCTAATCAATACTGATTAATTATTATAATATTTTATTCGAAAGTTTTTAGAGTTCTGGTTTGGTCTCTTGTGGTGTCTCTGATGACGTAGATTTAGCAAAATTAATGTACCGTTTTTGGGTGTAGGGGAAGTCATTGGCGTACAATGTTTTGAGACGATGTAGTCGGATATTTTACGCTTGGTCTTGTTTTTTAATGATTATTAATTTGTTATTTTTCTATTTCAAATGCAAACCGTGTTTTTTGGTTAAGAGAGATATTGTCCGCTTCTAATAATGTAGTTTTCGGTTAGATAGAGTGAGGACGGAGAGGTCAGGATTAGGTTTCTAAGTTGTTTTCTCCTTTCCCTTCATCACTCTTGGAATGACCTGTCCTAAGCCTCTTCAATAGGGAAAATTGATTCTCTCAATTGTTATGAAATGACTTGGTCACGATAGTGGATTGTCCGGATACTAATAGAATCTGCTACTAAATCGCTATATATTAAATTTGTAATTTCATGCCTAATAAAATAGTTTTAAAATATTATAAAAAGTCCATAGTTTAAAATTTGAAATTGAATACAAATTCCAAAATATTTTAAGCAATTCTTTTAGTCTAAAGTTAATACTAGGATATGTTTTCAACTCCAACGGATTCAAAACATTTTTCTCTCAAAATTGATGATATCAATCACTGGCAGGTTAACAAAAAAAACATTATCAGCTTGTTGAAAAATTTGTTTACATATAAGTCAATGCACTTATAAGCCTTGTTCTCTGTCCAAGAGCGGTGATGTCAACGCATGTGAAGGATAAGTCCAGAGGAGGCTGGGTAGCACTGTACTAAAGGATAGTGACAATTAAATTAGGAATTAATTTTTCTTCAATTTTTAATAAAATGACATAATTTCTCTTAGTTCAATAATAAATAAATAAATAAACATGCATGACCCAGTCAATCCAACTAAAGGTCATTTTAAGAGACTTATTTAACTCCAAAAAAATAAGTTTTTGAAAAATAATTTTCTAGATAAAAATTATTAGTTTTATTTGAGTTATTTGTCATCTATTTAGGCAATTTTATTAAATTAAACAAGAGAATCTTAACGTAGGAACTAACATGACTCTAGCAAAAAATTTTAGGAACTATAGGGTGAGTTATTTTATTAGAAATTAAATTTGGCTATTACTAAAATGTCAAAGGGTAATTTGAGTCTTAGTTCTTAATACATTTTATATGAAAAACATGATGGAGAAAGCTGAAAAACTCATAAAAATAATATAATGTTCAATTCATTTTTAAATAGTTTAATTATTTAGATGTTGTAAATTTTCTATGTAAAAAGTACTGATTAAAACCTATTTTGCAGGAAACTCTGAGTTGAGATCATAAGGTTGGAGGATTAAGAGAGAAAGTAGAAGAAAGTAACAAAAATTGGAATCAAGGAACAAGATCTGGTGAGGCAAGAGTTGGGCATTATCACTTTTGTTCACAAAAGTGATTGTTCTTAATATTGAAGAAAGAACTATGCGTTATCACTTTTGTTCACAAAAGTGATTGTTCTAAAGAGTTCCCCAGCAAAGCAAAGCATGCGTAGTCACTTTTATTTACAAGAGTGAGCGTTCCAAAGAGTTTCCCAGCAAAGCAAAGCACGCGTAGTCACTTTTATTTACAAGAGTGAGCGTTCCAGAGAGTTCCCCAGCATAGCAAAGTGCGTGTGATCACTTTTGTTCACAAAAGTGATCGTTCTAGAGAAATCTCTAGCAAAGCAAGCTGCACGTGATCACTATTGTTGACAAAAGTGATCGTTCAAGCTGCACGTGACTCCTATTGTTCACGAAAGTGAACATGCGCAAACCATGAACCTCTGCGTTGCTATTTTTATGAAAAGTAGTGATCATATCAGAAAGGTGAAAAATTCTATAAATAAGAGATTAGCCTAAAAATTTGGATCTTTTTTCTCATTTTTTCATTTCCATACCTTAGGAGAGTTAGAGAGGGAGATTGAGGGCGACTTCCAAGCCCTAGACCTTGAGGAATCAGGCTAGGGATTGAATTTATGAAGAAATTTTGCAGCTCCTTTTCTTCTACTCCTTCTCTTTCTTTTTCTCTTAGGAACATGTTCTGATTTCTTTTTCTTATAGATTGATGGATCCGATTTTGATATTGCAAATTGATTGTAGATCTGGATTTTAAAATCTTAATTGTATTGAATGTTTAATTCCTTTCTTAATGCAATTCTTGAATTAGTTATTCAATTGAATTGAATCTAGAAGATTTTTATCAATGGAAATTGAGTTAATTTCTCAAATCTGAATTGAATGTCAAGATTATGGATATCTTAGGGATAAGAATTCATGATCTTGTGATCTTTTAATTTCTCATACTTGGTGCAATATTTGATTGATTTACACATAAGGAATTAGGGTAGTTAATTGAATGTTAGGATCATTGAGGTAAGAGATTGTCCTTTGATTAAATAAGTAAAATTGATCATCAATCAATTAAGAAACTTAGAGTTCAGATCTATTTCAGTTTTGCAATTTATAAAGAGGTGAAATTAGTCCTAACTCCATTCACACATCAATTCATTTCTAAATTCGTCACTTTATTTTGCTGTTATTTTCTGATTTCTACACTTTATTGTTTTTATTTGCAAATGCTCAAAACACTCCAAAATTCATTTAGCTCAACTAGTTATTGATTTGTGAAGTGATAATTGATAGAATTAATCTCTGAGGACGATACTTGAGACTTAAACTGAATTCTAAATTTTATTACTTGCTACAACTACCTAGTACACTTGCTAGTTAGTATTCTCCCAGCTATGTGACAGTGACTTAAACAATTTTATGGTATGAAATAATATGTTTTTATTATCCAATTTTCACTTGAAATTGGTATAATTTGCTTATGCGGACCAATGTTTGCTTAAAACAAGTTTTTTTGCCCCTTAAAGTGCTTTTAGTACAAGATTCGCTTCAATCTCTCTAAACTTGCTTAAAGAAAAATTTGCTTAAAAGAAAAACTAAAAAATTGCTTAAGTAAATCACAATTCGCTTAAAAAAAAAAAAGAACTAGAAGTAAAAGAAAAAAGAATGTTTTAGCTTAAAATACTAAAGGATAAATTTGGTAATTAAAAATTCAATATAATTAGTAAAAAAGGTATGTGCAAAAAGTATTGTCCGAATGGTGCTAAGTCAAACAAAAACTCACATCTAATTTAATCAAATTAAATAAAAAAGCCAAAATTAATTTAAATTTCTAAAAAAATGGGAAAAAATTACATTTTGCAATGAAAATACTAATATGTCTTTAATACATCTTTCCTAACATACCTAAATCACAATGGACATTTATTATCAATAATAATAACAATAAAAATAACAATAATAATGATTTTATTATTTGTTTATTTTGTTATTTTATTATAAGAGAAAAATTTTAAAAATTTCTTTATATAATTAAATTTTATTAAAATATATTTTTATTTGCTATATTTATGTCATTTTGTAAATATATAATTTTCTTTCTTTCTTTCAATATAACTAATCAAATAGAATATACCAAACAATTTAAAATATTATCTTTTTTTCTTTCTTTCTTTGTTCTTATTTTCTTTTACAATCAAACAAATTTTAAGAATCACATGATACCTTTATACTAAACAAAATACAACAAAATTTAAAATATTATAGTCTAACTTTGTTTTTATATTTTTTCTTTCTACTTTATTTTATATGAGTTATATGATATTTATAAAAATAAATAAAATATTAACACATTAAAATACTAAGCTGTAAAATTTTTTATTTTAAAACTGATAAAATTTAAAACTATTTATTAAAAATAAAATAAATTATCCTCTCTTCTGTTATTTTTTTCTCTCCCGTCTAAAATAGAAATCTTACTTAAACATATTATAAAATAAGAGAGAGGATTCGAGCATGTTAATTTCCAGTTTATAAAAGATTTGTTTTTTTTTAAAAAAAAAACTCTTTTTAAAAATAGAAACAAACATGCTTAAAATTTTGTGCTTTTTTTTTAGGCTTTGATGTCTCATGATTAAGAGGGATCATGGTTCTCGTGGAAATAAGAGAAATGTTCCTATACATTCATTTTTAGTTTCCACATATATGAGTGAAAATATAAAAATTCTTAACTGAAAGGTGGTAATATTTTTAATTACGATCATATTTATAACATACAAGTAAGGTCGGTTTCATCACCTACATGATTAAATATTTTTCAATAACATAAAAGTATATCCATAATTTTTTCCCTAATGCCATAACATATCGGATCGTACAAAGCAACAAAACTGCGTTACGCCAGAAATATGATTCGCGCAATTGCGCTCTTATATGACAATTACATCGTAAACCACTTGGGTTTGGTATTGTGCAACTTATGTCGTGGTTGTGAATGCAAATCGAACCCAAAAGTAAGAAGGCTTAGGCATTGAAGATGAAATGATGGATGATTTTTATGAATCATATTAGCATGCAGCAGCATTATTTAGCAGAAAATAAAGCAAAGAAATGGCAAATTAAGACGAGTCTCGCATTTACATTCAAGCATGCTCGTAATATTTTTATATTCATCAAATAAAAGTTCTGGATGGCTCTTGTGGAGCACGAGTTCAACTGTAAAACCCGTAGCTCTTAGCATTGAGTATGATTTGCCTTAATCCACCGATTGGTGCTAAAACCATCAGCAGGATGCCAAGTAAAATGCACATCTGAAAACAGGGAAGACCAATGGGTAAACTAATTAAGTTTTAATTTCGAAGTCAAATAAAATATAGCAAGAAGCTTAGCGTAGTTGAACATACCCAGTTAGTGATCCATGATAAGCTGAACTTCCTAGGTTTGTAAATATTAAGCCAGATAATACAGGGGAGCTACACAAGTACATTATGTTCAAAAATGCAGTCAGTGATATCTATATACTGAGAGCATAAGAATAAATCTCATGTATATAATTATACGCCAATAATCAAGACTATTTTATTTAAATCTAATTTTGATTACGTCATCAATTTTTGTTTCTTCTGTAATCTTATACGTATACATATATGCATGTGTATGATTCCAAAATAATTGCCATTTACTAATACAAAAATTAAATAACTTTCGTCTAATAAAAATAAATTATTGGTATAGACTTCGAAGTTTGTACTAATATATATTTGTTAGTAAAAAATTTTAAAACTTAAATTAATTTATTTTTTGTTAGACAAAAATTATACTAACAAATACTAGTGATAATTTTTGTTTGTCGATAATGTTTTTTTTTTTTTATGTAGTGGTGGTTAGATATATTTTAATTCTTAAAAATTTTATTCTTGTTCAATCTTTAAAAAGTACAAGAAAGCCACCGGTTTTTAGTCTTCAGTGAAGGATTGGAATTATATTATTTTTTAAACATAGAGAATAAAACTGAATAATTTTTTTAAAACTAAAAATATAATCATATTTTCAAAGACTAATATATGTAGAGAGAAGTTGGTTTTGAGACCATGATATTATATACTAGAGGAGTTTGAGGGCTTACAAAGTATGTTGTTGGAGAAAATGCAAATCCTCCAAAAAATCCAAGTAGGGCACCAAAGAAAGGGAACGTGATGCCCATAAACATAGTGAATGCTGAAACAAAAATAATTCATAGAGTGAGAGGCATTTAATTGTGAATTTCGTAACGGCACACGTAGGAGAAAAGAACTTGGAACAAAGAAGAGGGGGAATATGCTCACCAACATAAACATTGCGAACGATAAACCGTAGTAACCGGCTTGGCTTGAAACGTAGTTTTTTAACCATGACGGTCTCAATCATGTCAAAAACTGGCATTGCATATAACTATGTAGATAGACAACAAATGGAAGCCAAAGAAAGAATATAAGCGTTACGTTATATTGAATTTTGAAGTTTTTATATAAAATGGTTACTGACCTGGTAGCTTCCTATAACATGGATGACAACAAACATGTTAGCAGCAACAATGAGCCAAGTGGGTTTGTTGAGGGAGATGAGGATATTGTCGTCAACGGCATTGCCAAACATCCAATAGCCAATGAGGGCAACGGGAAAGTAGCACAAGGCTACAACTAAATAGGCTACGACCACACCCTTCCACATAGGGCCCTTTGATGGTTTCTCGGGGGTGGAAGGAATCGTTGCTTGAATCTCCAACACCACGTTGTGTCCCGCGTAGGCAAAAGCAACATCACCCAAAGCATTCAGAAAATTGAATACTGTTCCTGCTGAAGTTGTCCCTTTGTACCCATACTGCACATCTTTCTGAACTCCCTTCTCTACCGAAGCCACCCATGCAATCGTTGAATAACTGCATTTCATTCATATTCAAATTCCACACATCTCATTCAGCACAGATTTCTCAAGTGCTTGTACAATACAAAATACATACCCTTCTTTTTCAATCATGTTATTCAAATAACTTTCTTTTCAATATATATACTTTTTTTTTCTTTTTATTTATTGTTGTGAAGATGTTTTGTTGAAATAATATTACTCTCTTTAATTTCTACTACTGGGACCTTGTAGAAATAAGTAAGGAACACATTAAATGTTTAAAAAATACGTATTGAATAATTCTTATATTTTTAATGCAATAATATATATATATATATAGCATACGACAAAAAGAATTGTTATATTAATACTAAGCTTTAGTAGGTTTACTTCTGTATTATTTAATAACTTTTATCATTTGTAAGAATTTTATGATTAATGCAAGAATTATAAACTTAGCTAGAGTTTGGTTTATCAGTTTTTTTATTTTTCTTTCCCTAAAAAAGTCGAACTAAGTACTGTTTAAAAAAATATTAAAAGAAGTAATATTTTAATAAGAAAGGCCTAAAAAGAAAATTTCTATAAAGTGTAGTCAGACAAATTTTTACATTTAAGAAAAAAAAGAAGAGAAAACCTCAACGAGCAAACACTTCCTTAAATATTATAAACTTGTGTATAATGTTTTGGTAAAGAAAAGTCAAAAACCTCTTGATTAATGCAAGAGAGAATATCAAAGTGAAAATTAAAAAGTCAATCTGCAAAAGGAAGAATGATATTTCATGGAATATTCAATTTTCTTAAATTTTAATTGAAATACAATAACAGTGTAAAAATATTAATATTATTATTCAATCATAAATTATTATAAAATTAAAAATTATTAAATTTTAAAATAATTATTTTAAAAATAATATCTAAAATATACTCTGCTGTATCAAAATGAAACGAAAACGACATAAATTAAGGGAAGGGTTAATTAAGTTGAGTTGTTGACTTGAGTGGTTGACTTAATGGCACAGCAAAGAAGAATGCTTAGTTACCTGAAAGACATGATAGCTGCAGCCAAGGAGATGCCTGAGATGGCATTGAAATTGGGAAGGTGGGCTAATACAAAGTGAACAGAGGCAAAGATCATGATAAAATAACTAGTCTTCATTGGCTTGCAACTTTTCTGGCACACGAGGTCATGAATCTTCTGCAGTGATTTTCCTCCAGTGACCATATACACAATGTCCACACCAATTTCACATATCAGTTGCTGTGGCACCACAATCCACAGTCCAAGCTTTTCTCCAAAGGCATGTTGCCCCAACTCATGGTACCTGTCAAACCTTTTCCCAGGGACCATTTCATGCATCTCAACCATTTGCCACAGTGTGTATAGAGTAGTCACCCACGACAACACAAGAATAACCACACCAGGACCCCTGCAATATATAGGTCATTCCGAAGTTAACATAAACTAACTTTTAAGTGCCCAACAAAAGATCTAAGCTCCTAAAAGGAGTTTACAAGATACAGAAGCTAAGGTTTTCACTCGATTTGCTTTTTGCTTTATTGTTTTCGCTGTTTCGCTGATTATTTTTGCTAAAAGAGAAAAAACTTTGATGATTTGATCATAGTAGTTAGTTATATACAAAGATATATTTTGTCTTTATGGTAGGAATCATTCTTGTTCCTTGTACTGCATAAACTTTTTTTCTGTCCCTTTCTTGTGGCATTTCATAGCTTATTTGTAAAATGAAAAAATTACAAAAGGAAATGCTATATTGACAAAAAAATTGTACAAGTTTTGTTACAATATGAAAAAAAAGAATGATAAGTGACAGAGAAATAAAAAAGAATGTTGTCATAAAAATTCCTCGTAGGAAGTAACAGAAAAAAAGAAAAATTATCTGCAATTAGAGTGAGGTGACAGTAGCATAATAGCATACCATCCAAGGCCTGCCATGGCAGATGGAAGACTAAGGACACCAGCTCCAACCATGGCAGTGACGTTGTGAAAAGCTGAATACCACCATTTTGCGTTCCTTGAAGAAGTGATGGGAAGCCAATCGTCAATTGCTTTCTGTTCCGCTGTTGTTTTGTCAATCTGTATTAACCCAAAAATAGCACACATATACTACATAAATAACAAGCAAATTCAGCATCCAAAACTAGTTTTTACCCGAATCACCCTTTTGAGCAGAAACATATTGTCACAAAATTACTAATAATAAATACTAATAATAATAAAGTAAAATAGAATAGAGAACACAAGCACATAAGATTTTGTGTTACCTCTGCTGGTGAGAAAGCAACCTTTTCATCCCCGAAAGGCTTTTCATTCATCGGAGTGTCGGTTCTCATGGTTGTGAAGAATAAGGAAGGTGTTGGTTGAAGTGTTCCTCAATGAAATGGGAAATGCATTTCTTCAAAGATAAAAGAAATGGAAATCATAATTACTTACTGCTTCTGAAAAGGACTGTCAAGAGAGGTCCGTCCCAGTGTTGACAGAAGGTGAATTTCTCAAGCCGGCAATTTGTTTCGCATAATAGTAATAATAACGGTTTCTTAAATTTTTAAAAATTGAAATTTTTATTAAAATACATTAAAATTATAAATATATTAACAATATTTTTTAATAAACTCTTATAAAGAGGGTTTATAAATATTAATTAATATTTACATGACAACAAACATTAATCACATTATTTTAAGATAATAAACTTAATAATATTTAAATTGTGTAAAATTTAATATACATAATCACAAAGATAACATAAAATGATTTAATAATTAAATTGATAAATTTGTATTTTGTAAAAAATTATTAAAAAATATAAATATATAAATTTAATATATTATATTAACGAACTTTAACTCTTGTATAATAGTTTAGGAATATAGGTAAAGCTAATAATATAAGAGGGAGACTCATGATTTTTTATATTTTTTAATGAATGTGTTGCTGGGATTTCTTTTGAAAATATTTATGGAATTCATTTAATTGTCTTTCAATAATTTTAAAGATTCTTTGTTTTGGTATTTAAAAATTAATTTTCATATCTCTTTTAATAAATAAAATATAAATTTAAATATATGTAATAATTAAAACTTGAGAATTAAAAAATATACTTACAAGTTAAATTAATACAAGGCAACAATACTTAAGGAATAGTTTCCTTTCATAAATTGTTTCTTAGTTTAGTCTATGTATATATATCTAATAGTTTTGTTACTTAAATTATTAAAAAATATAGTATATCTAACACTGTATAATTATTTTTATTTTTCATATTATTTATGTCTTTTACATATTATTTTTCAAAAAATATACATCAAAATTCCAAATAAACACATAAAAATATCATTTTCTGAAAATACCAAAAAAAAAAATATTTCCGATTATATAACCATTCATTTAAACATGTCAAATTAAATTTTCTAGGTCTAGTCATCAAAATAGTTTACTTTTGAATTTTAGATACATTTACATTTATAATTTTCTTAAATTAAAAATATTTTTTTATAGTTTAAATGTTTCGATTTTTTATTTTTAAATTTTATCCTGAGTGTACGAGATTTTTCCCGATTACCCACATATTGTAAGGCTCTGCATATCAACATTCTGTTTAGACCTTTTCGATACCCATACTTTGAATAGAATTACAATACTAATAATATTTATATACCTTAGAATTTTTTTTTTTTTATATTCTCTTTTTATTTCTTCTTCACGTCATCTATTATATTATTATTTTTTATCTCTCATTATGGAAGCGTATCTTGATGATTCTTGAAATATACAAACATTAAAGTGATAAACATTGTAAAGTAGTAATATAGTGTTTGCTTGTGCAGCTGTACAACTACAGTTAACTTTGTTTTCAATTGAGCTAGACAGTTTCAATGTATCAGATCCTTCTGATTTTTGCTAAGAGCTTTGGAATTGAAGTGATGAACATTGTTAAGTAGTAATATGGTGTTGTTTATGTAGCTGTTCAACCCCAGTTAACTTGTTTTCAATGGAGCTAGTCAGTTTCATGATATCAGATCCTTCTCATTTTTGCTAGACGATAATATTTATGCCCCATTATTGGGAAAATCGCTACCATGTCTCCTCCATCAATTATATTCTCTATCTTTGTATTAATTAGATTAGTGTATTTATAAACGATTCAAATAATTTTGTTATTAAAAATATTACCAATATAGATTGATTTTCAGAAATTGTAATATTAGTCTTTAAATATTGGTTCTTCTAGATGATGTAATTATTAATATTACGATGAAAATTTTGTGTTTTTTTGAGGATTAATATATTTATTGATATTATATGTCTATTGTTAAATTGTAAAAAAAAATGTCATGAAAAGGAATAGAGTGACTCGTAAAATAGACAAAAAAAAAGAAAGCAAAACTTAAGAGTAGAGAAATAAGGTATTATTTGGTTATATTGTATTCTATTTCTATACTCTAACAAAAATAGAAAGTAATAAAGAAAATATATTTGGTTATCCAATTTTATTTTTAGTGTTTGAGGATCGATGTATTTATTGATATTGACATGTCTTTTGTTCAATAGTGAAAAAAAAATGTTACAAAAAGAGAATAGAATGACTCATAAAATAGACATGAAGATACATAGTAGAGAAATAAGGGGTTAATTCATTTTACTTTTCTATTTCTACATAAATAGAAAGTGATAAATATAAATAGATTAATACACTTGGTTATCCATTTTTATTTTCAGTTTTTGAGGAGTGATATATTTATTGATATTACTATCTCTGTTGTTAAATTGTGAACCAAAAAATATCACCAAAGAGAATAGCCTGACCCAAAAAAAATAGACAAAAAGATACTTAAAGCATAAATATAAGGTGTTATTTGATTTTATGGTTTCCTATTTCTAGATTCTAGCAAAAATAGAAAGTAATAAGGAGAAAATATTTGGTTCCCCATTTTCATTTTCAGTTTTTAAGGATTGTATATTTATTGATATTGATATGTCTATTGTTAAAATTGGGGGAAAAAATTGTCACAAAAAAGAATAGGGTGACTTATTATAAAATAGACACGAAAATACTTAGAGTAAAGATATAAGGTGTTATTTAGTTTTATGGTTTTCTATTTTTACATTCTAGTGAAAATAGAAAGTAATAAAGAGAATATATTTAGTTGTTATTTTCATTTTTAGTTTTTGAGGATCGATGTATTTATTAATGTTGATATGTCTATTGTTAAATAGCGAAAAGTATCACAAAAAAGGAATAGAGTTACTCATAGATTAGACACAGATAATTAGAGTAGAGAAATAAGGTGTGATTTGGTTTTATTGTTTTCTATTTTTACAATCTAACAAAAATAGAAAGTAATAAAAAGAAAATATTTGGATGTTCATTTTCATTTTCAATTTTAGAAAACAAGTAGCCTGTGATTTAATGTATGTTAATTTAATTCTTAAAATTATGATAAAGATAATCTTTTAAAATTATTAGAATTTAATTATTTTAGTCTTTTAAAAATATAAAATTAGATATTTTATTCTTCAATAACATTACATATATCGGTCAATTTGGTCCGATGCAAGAGAAATTTTACTCTATTATTATTATTATTATTATTATTATTATTTTAGTCCTTATAATTTTAGGCATGGCTTCAGCTAATCCTTAGATCATTTAAATTAATTCTTAAAATTAATTAGTCTGATCCCTAAATTTATAGGTATCAATCAAATTTTTCATAATGAATATTGTTTTTAAAATTATAATAAATTTATTTTATGGTAAAGTAACACATTTTTATTTTATGGCAAGAAAAAAACTTAAAAATAAGGAATGGTGTTTCTAACCTTAGTGATAAAAAACAATAACTTGATTGATTATAAATATTTAAAAATTATATTGATGCACAATTTTATTCAATGATAAAATGATTGATTTCTTTATAATAAGTTAAAAAATCATAAATTTAGGGACAAAATTAATAAATATTTATAATTTTTGGGACTATCATAACTAATTTTATAATTTTCAAGTCCAAAATGATTTATTTTGAATATTTTTAGGGACTAAAAGTTATTTTCATAAATTCAAAGAATAAATAATGAATGTCTATAAATTTAGGAAATAAAATAATATATTATTACTCTTTTATTTTTGGAAAAACTATATCACTACTCTTCTAATTTTTAACTTCTACAATTTTTTTGTTTTAGTTCATTAATTTTTAAGAGATTTAATTCGGTTTTTTAATTTTAAAATTTCTTTAATAGATTTTTTATTTTAAAAAAGTTAATTTTGTTAAAATTTACTTTTCATTTTTTCTTATTTTAGTTCCTCTGTGACTTCTTACTTTTTTTTTGTCCTTCCCTTTTCATCTTTTTTTTGGGTAGGCACAGAAGATAAATTTAAGGAAAAAATTAAAAAAAATAAAATAACAATGATATTTAAATTAAGAAAACTAAATTAAAATTTTAAAAGTTAAAATATTAAGATTAAGTGTGGATAAACATTTCAGTAAACCTGTAAAAAGTTACAAATTAAGTAATAAAATAAATAAAACCTATTCTATAAGTTAAAATTAACTTATATTTTTCTTTATTTTTTAGAAGCTTCATTATTTATTTTTTTAATTTAAAAAAAATGAAAATAGGTTTATTTATTTTTATACTATTTTTATTTTCTTATAAATACTTTTTTAAAAAATTACACAAACTAGATATAAAATTAGAAAAATGAAGAAATTAAATGACCAAAATATTGTTTTTCTTATGTTACCGAAATCCAACGTCCTTCACTTCTTCCTCTACAACTACACAGCACCACTTGTGCTTGTCCACCAAAATCAACGTCTAACTGTCCAATCAACTCAATGTCTTCTACAGTCAAAATCTTATACAAGCCTTTGATTCGTGGTGAAAACGCTTTCTTAAGAGCATCGTAAAACTAATTTACCATACTATACCGTTTGAGGTTGAGGGTGCTAGAAACGAAACTGCACCATACTGTAAATTGAGAACAATGTTCATAACGTTAATGAATATTTTGGAGTAATAGGTGCTGTGAGAAGCTCAAGTGCCTGTTGATATCTGAAGCCACTTCTCTGTTTGCAGGTGAAAGAGAAAGCGCGTTTGAAAAACAGGGTTTGTAGTGCGAAGGTCGTTTTCTTAACTTGTGTATGAGTTTTGATATGTGATGCTGAATTTGTTTCAAGCTGTTATAGTTGTTGCTTGCAAAAGACAAAGACTTAGCATGCCGTGGACTTTGGAGGATACTCGATCGATATTGACGTGTAG